AAATTTTGGCCTGGATATGAGAGAATACATCTATGTGGTATGTGTGCACCACATAAAACAAATCCTGCAGCACATAGTGCATAATGAGAGAAAAAACCTGAGACCGTAATTTTCGATTAAAACAGCGACTTTGCAGTGCTTTCTCGTATGTTTTTTATAGTAGTATTTGCGATTTCTTGGTCTCATTTGGTAGAATGGAAGACATATTACAGAAACAGAGATAATTTTGATTGGTTTTAGTGGAGAAAATGGCTTGAAACTGAGCTCAAATTAGCAGAAATGTTAAATTTTTGCTGATGTTCAAGAGTAAATAAATGACTTCACGCCTGCTGGTGGTTCTAATATATGTTCCCAAATGTGGTGATATTATTTATACAGTGGAACCCCCCCCCCCCCCGAGTTTCGTCGGCATCGACTTTCGTGAAATCCGACTTTCGGCAAGTTTTTTCGGCAAAATTTAGCCTCACGGTTTGTGATTGGACTCGTGATTCGGCAACCACCTGGTACTCGTCTGCCTGTCACCGTGCACACAAAGCCAGTCTCCTGCACCATTCACACTCAGTGTGCCATTGTTTACCAGCACGTGACCATCACCCCGCGGGTTCATACAATACATTTCATAACACTCCATTGTTTTTTGTGCTTGCAACTGCTAAATAAGTCACCATGGGCCCAAGGAAAGCTAGTGCAAGCCATTTGGTAAAGAAAGCGAGGAACTCGATTGAATTCAAGAAGGAAATCATTGAAAAATATGAGAGCAGAGTGCGTGTTACAGAACTTGGCTGGATGTATGACAAACCCCAGTCAACCATCACTTCAATCGTGGCAAAGGGAAAGGAAATAAAGTGTGCTATTGTTGCAAAAGGGGTAGATATGCTGACAAAAAAGAGATCGCAAATCCTCGAAGAAGTGGAAAGGTTATGGTTGGTGTGGATTACCCAAAAACAGTTACCACAAGATAGTGTTATGCAGTCGATAATATGTGAAAAGGCAAGGCAGTTGCATGATCTCGTAAAGAAAATGCCTGCAACAAGTGGTGATGCCTTGCGAGTTTAAGGCCAGCAAAGGTTGGTCTGAGAGATTTAAGAAGCGTAGTGGCATTCACAGTGTGATAAGGCATGGTGAGGTTGCCAGTTCTGACAAAAAAGCAGCTGAGAAGTTTGTACAGGGTTTAAAGAGTGCGTAGACACTGGAGAATTCAAACCCCAGCAAGTGTTTAATTGTGACGAAACTGGCCTCTTTTGGAAGAAAATGCCAAAGAAGACCTACATCACGCAGGAGGCAATGGCACTCCCAGGACACAAGCCTATGAAGGATAGGCTTATTCTCATGTTTTGTGGTAATGATAGTGGGGATTACAAAGTGAAGCCTTTACTGGTGTATCACTCTGAAAATCCCAGTGTTCAAGAAAAAGTGTCGCCAAGAGTAATTTGTGTGTGATGTGCAAGGCTAACAAGGCATGGGTCACAAGGGGAATTTTCCTAGACTGGTTTAATGAAGTGTTTGGCCCCCGTGTAAAGAAATACTTCTTGGAAATTAAATTGCCACTCAAGTGCCTCCTGGCAATGGACAATGCTCCTGCTCATCCTCCAGACTTGGAAGAGCAAATAGTGGAGGAGTTTAGTTTCACGGTGAAGCTCTTGCCCCCTAATACAACTCCTCTCATCCAGCCCATGGACCAGCAGGTCATTTCAAACTTCAAAAAACTGTACACCAAAGCAGTTTCAAAAGTGCTATGAAGTGACCTCAGACACTGAATTGACCCTAAGAGAGTTCTGGAAAGATTGCTTCAAGATTCTCACTTGCATAAACCTTATAGGTAAGGCTTGGGAAGGAGTGACTTGCAGAACTTTGAATTCTGCTTGGAGAAAACTGTGGCCAGAATGTGTACAAGAGAGGGATTTTGAAGGGTTTGGGGGCTGACCCTAAGGAGCCTATGGCAGTTGTGGAATCTATTGTGGCATTGGGGAAGTCCCTGGGGTTGGAGGCGAGTGGTGAGGATGTGGAAGAGTTGGTGGAAGACCACAGGGAAGTGCTAACTACTGAAGAGCTGCAAGAGCTTCATCTGCAACAGCAAGAGATTACAGCTGAGGAAATTGCTGGAGAGGAGGAGGAAGAGAGATGGAGGAAGGTGCCTTCTTTGAAAATTAAGGACATCTGTGTAAAGTGGACTGAAGTGCAAACATTTATGGATGAACTTCACCCTAACAAAGCTGTTGCAGGCTGTATTGGCAACATGTACAATGACAGTGTTGTATCCCATTTCAGACAAATCTTGAAGAAACGTCAGAAACAGGGGTCTCTGGACAGATATTTTGTGCGACAGGGGTCCAGTGACTCTCAAGTTGTTCCCAGTGTCTTTAAAAACAAAGAGGGGAAGTAACCCTTGATAAGGACTTCGTACCTTAAGTCCTAATGGAAGGAGATTCTCCTTCCAAACAATAGTGTACACCTTCCTCCTATCCCCTCCTCCCGTCTTCCATCCACCCAGAAGTCTTCAGTAAAGGCAAGGGTAATGTTGTTATTTTTTATATGTATGTACTTGATTTCTCATTGTTTTCAGTATGTAAATCTTTATTTAATTTGAAAAAAAAAAAATTATTTTAATATTTTTGGGTGTCGGGAACGGATTATTTTTTTTTTTTTTTAACGAGTCAGCCATCTCCCACCGAGGCAGGGTGACCCAAAAAAGAAAGAAAATCCCCAAACAGAAAATACTTTCATCATCATTCAACACTTTCACCACACTCACACATTAATTAATTAATTAATTTTATTTCCATTATTTCTTATGGGGAAAATGGTTTTGCCATTCGGCAATTTCGATATTCGGCAGACTCTCTGGAACAGATTAATCACAAAACTCAGGAGTCCATTGTGTAATTAATACAATACGTATTGCATAACAGTAAATCTTATATTTTTTGGTCTGAATACAAATTCATTATGTGAATAAAAATTAAAAAGGGAATTCATTAGTAAAACCTGAAAACGTAACTAATGAACAGAGGAAATGTTAGTTTAGTGCCAAGAATGCCTGCATTGTTTATTCTGGACTCTATTTTTAAATTGGAGTAATTTGAACTTTGCATTAAATTGGCCAAATTACCAATTTCCGATCAATCAATAGAATAGAAGTAATACTATTGAAATAGCTAAGAATTTGGTCGACTGGAATACTGTAATTGGACTAAAATGGGAGTCAAAGTCGGCAAAATCGCTGATGCGTAAATATCGCTGACACATCAAAATTTGCAAGAGCATAATTTCGTCAATTTTCCATCAAATTTCATACTTTTTTGTTTTATTACCTTCAGAAAAAGATTCTCTATCATTTCATAAGAAAAAAATAACAAAATTATTTTTTGAAAGTTCTTGGACACTGGTGCGCACTTTGAAATTTGGCCTCTGGACCCTGAAAGGGTTAACATCAGTGAACCACAACCAGTGTTATATGATCTAGCAGTGGTCACTGTTAACACTTTCAGGCTCCAGACCCCCGATCTCAAACTTGTCCAAAGGGTCCAAGAATTTAAAAAAAAAAATTTATTGTTATTTTTCTCATGAAATAGTAGAGAATCTTTTTCTGAAGATAATAAAATAAAAAGTATGAAATTTGATGGAAAACTGACGAAATTACACTCACGAATTTAACTGCATCAGCAATATTTACACATCAGTGATTTTCCCCACTTTGATTCCTATTTTAGGCTAATTACATCATTCCAGTCGACCAAATTCTTAGCTATTTCGCAAGTATCACTTCTGTTTTATCAAATGAGACCAAGAAATTGCTCAATCAACCATTTCAATTACCCAAAGAAGTGATCAGAAACTGGTAATTTGGTCAATTTCACACAAAGTTCAAAATATTCCAGTTTCAAAATAGGGTCCAGAATAAACAATGCAGGCATTCCTGGCACTAAAATAACATATCCTATATTTATCAGTTACATTTCCAGGCTTTACAGATGAATTCCATATTGATTTTTTATTCACATAAAGAATTTTTATTCACACCAAAAAATAGAAGATTTACTGTTATGCAATATTGTAACAATTGTATAAATAACATAAGAGAATTCATGAATGTATATCAGACCCACTAATTGATGTGTATTGGACACGTGACATCATTTGTTTACTCTTGAACATCGGCAAAAATTGAACAATTCCGCTACTTTGAGCTTAATTTCAAGCTATTTTCTGTACTTAAATTAATCAGACTCATCTCTATTTCTGCAATATATCTTCCAATCTATCAAATGAGACCTAGAAACTGCGAATACAACCTTAAAAACCATACGAAAATACACAACAAACAATCACCGTTTTAATACAAAAACATGGTTGCAGTTTTTTTCTCATTATGCTGCAGGATTTGTTTTACATGGTGCACACTTACCACACAGATCCATTCTCTCATATCTAGGCCCAAATTTACTGCACACAGCTCATTTGAGTGAGCTGAGCTCATGATGTAGAACTACGGCTCGGACCCTGGCTTCAAAGTTGTAGAACTACGGGACGGACCCTCAAAGGGTTAACATCAGTGAACCACAACCAGTGTTATATGATTTAGTCATGGTCCCTTAACACCAGTGAACCACAGCCAGTGTGTTGTGATCCAGCAGTGGTCACTGTTAACACCAGTGAACCACAGCCAGTGTGTTGTGATCCAGCAGTGGTCACTGTTAACACAAGTGAACCACAGCCAGTGTGGTGTGATCCAGCAGTGGCCACTGTTAACACCAGTGAACCACAGCCAGTGTGGTGTGCGATCCATGCAGTGAGTCACTGTGTTATCACATTCATGTGAAAAACCACAGCCAGTGTGGTGTGATCCAGCAGTGGCCACTGTTAACACCAGTGAACCACAGCCAGTGTAACATGATCTGACTGCACAACTGTCACCTACAACAAATCACTAAAGTCCTGCAATAACTAAACTACTGAAAAAAATGATAAATTCTTTGAAGGTGACACATATAAAGACTCACAGCAAAAAGCTTAATCATGGTTTCTTTAATGATTTTCTCAGCTTCGCTCTTGGAGGTGTCCACTTCAAAACCTTGCTGGTTAAGTCTGGTGAGTGTGTTCATGAGAAGACCCGTCCTAGCTGCCTTTTCCTCCAGTTCACCTTTCTCAGTTTCCAGCTCACACAGAGGTATCTGCAATGGCAAAGAATAATGAAAGGGACAGTATGTATAGTATTCACAGGGTGATGCCCAGGGAGGGTTTGATGAACCCCTCAAAAATAAAAGCAATGATATAATAATAATAATAATATAATAATAATAATAATAATGATAAATAATACTGCAGAAGTATTTTTTTTTTAACAAGCCAGCTATATCCCACCGAGGAAGGGTGGCCCAAAAAGAAAAATGAAAGTTTTTCTTTTTACATTTAGTATTTTATAAAGGAAAAGGGGTTACTAGCCCCTTGCTCCCTATAAAAATAATAATACTGTAATCATTTCTTTTTTCAACATGTCAGCTGTCTCCCACCAAGGCAGGGTGACAAAAAAAAAAAAAAATCCACCATTACTTATACATAATCAGTGTCTTTGTAGTGGTGCACAGATACAACGGTTTAGATGTCACTCCAAACAGCCAACATCTCCAACTCCTCCTTTAAAGTGCAGGCATTGTACTTCCCACCTCCAGGACTCAAGTCTGGCTAACCAGTTTCCCTAAATCCCTTCAAAAAATAATACCCTGCTCACATTGCAACAGTGCAACAGCTTGTCAGGTCCCAAAAACCGTTCGTCTCCATTCACTTCTAACACGTTCACACATGCTTGCTGAAAGTCCAAGCCCCTCGCCCACAAAACCTCTTTTACCCCTCTCTCTCCATCCTTTCTTAGGATGCCCCCTATCCCTTCTCCCCTGCAACACAGATTTATACATCCTTGAAGTCATCCTATTTTGCTCCAAATCGCCACAACAACCCCTCTTCAGCCCTCTGAATAATACTTTTAGTAACTCCACAGCTCCTCCTAATTTCTACACTACAAATTCTCTGCATAATATTTACACCACACATTGCCTATAGACATGACATCTCCACTGCCTCCAGCCACCTTCTTACTGCAGCATTCATAATATTGTAATAATTTTTTTCAACAAACCGGCCATATCCCACAGAGGCAGGGTGACCTAAAAAGAAAAACAAAAGCTTCTCTTTTAAATTGTTATATACATGCTCCAGGCATTTTAGTCACCTCTTACAACATGCATGGCTTATGGAGGAAGAATTCTGTTCCACTTCCCTATAGAGATGAGAGGAAATAAACAGATGAAAGACACCAGCAATCCTACCATCATGTAAAACAATTATAGGCTTCCGTTTCACACTTACTTGGCAGGACAAAAGTACCTCCCTGGGCGGTTGCTGTCTACCGTAAAATTCTCCATGAGGACGTGGAACAGAATTCTTCCCCTGTAAGTCATGTGTGTCAAAAGAGGTGACTAAAATGCCAGGAGCAAGGGGGGCTAGTAACCCCTTCTCCTGTATACATTACAAAAGTTATGAAGAGAAACTTTTGTTTTTCTTATTGGACCACCCCGCCTCGGTGGGATACAGCCGTTTGTTGAAAAAAGAATACCATAATATCTCCACGGGGAAGTGGTGAAGAATCCTTCCTCGGTAAGCCATGCGTGTTGTAAGAGGTGACTAAAATGCCGGAGCAAAGGGCTAGTAACCTTCTCCTATATAAATTACTAAAAGTAAAAAGAAGATAATCTTTAGGAAAAATTTTTTTCACCTATCAAATCCCCCTGCCTCAGTGGAAGACAGCCAGTGTAAAAATAATAATATTAATGATAGAGCAAGGGGCTAGTAATCCCTTCTCCCATATACATGTACATAACTAAAGTTAAAAAGAAAACATTTGTTTTCTTTTTGGGCCACCCTGCCTTGGTGGGATATAGCCGGTTTGATGAAAGAATAACAATAATGCTGTTTTAAGTTCCCTAGCCCTCTCTTCTGTCAGGCTGACACCTCTAAGCCTTTCCTAAATAAAACTTCAGAACCCCAACTACAAGAATTACCAACCGCAAGAATTGCCAACCCAAAGTATTACCAACCCCAAGAATTACCAATTGCAAGTGTTACCAACCCCAAGAATTATCAACCCCAAGAATTACCAACCCTAAGAAATACCAACCCCAAGTATTACCAACCCGAAGAATTACCAACCGCAAAGTATTACTAACCGCAAGTATTACCAACCACAAGAATTACCAACCCCAAGTATTAATAACCCAAAGCATTACCAACCCAAAGTATTACCAAACCCAAGTATTACAAAACCCCAAGATTACCAACCCCAAGTATTACCACCCAAGAATTACCAACCCAAGTTTTACAACCCCAAGATTACCAAAACCACAAGTATTACCAACCCAAAGTATTAGAACCCAAGAATTACCAACCCAAGTATTACCAACCCAAAAATTCCAACCCAAGTATTACCAACCCCCCAAGAATTCCCAACCCCAAGTATTACCCCCAAGAATTACAACCCCAAGTATTACAAAAAAACCCCAAGATTTCCCTAACCCCAAAAATTACCAACCCAGAATTACCAACCCCAAGAATTACCAACCCAAGAATAACCCCCAAAGTATTACCAACCCAAGAATTAAACCAACCCAGTTTTCCAAGAATTACCAACCACCAAGATTACCAACCCCAAGTTTTACCAACGAAGAATTACCAACCCCAAGAATACCAACCACAATATTACCAACCCCCAAAGGAATTAACCAAAACCCCAAGAATTCCCAACCCAAGAATTCCCAAACCCCAAGTATTACCAACCCCAGAATACCAATCCCAAGTATTACCAACCCAAAAATTTACACCCAAGAATTCCCAACCCACAAGTATACCAACCCAAGATTAACCCGATACCCAAAAGTATTCCAACCCAAGGGAATATTACCCAAATTTCCAACCAAGAAATTACCAACCGCAAGTATTACCAACCCCAAGTATTACCAACCCCCAAGAATTACCAACAAGTTACCAACCGAAGAATTACAAACCCAAGTATTCCCAAACCCCAAGATTAACCAACCCCAAGATTACCAACCCAAGAATTACCAACCCCAAGATTACTAACAAAGAATTAACAACCCCAAGATTTACAATTACAAGTAATTCCCAAACCCCAAGAATTACAACCCCAAGTATTACCAACCCAAGAAACCAACCCAAGTATTACAACCCAAGAATTACAACCCAAAATTACCAACCCAAGTATTACCAACCCCAAGAATTCCAACTCAAGTATTACCAACCCCAAGTTTTACCAACCCAAGATTACCAACCAAAATTACAACCAAAAATTACCAACCCCAATTTCCCAACCCAAGAATTCCCAACCCCAAGTATTACCAACCCCAAGATTACCAACCCCAAGAATTACCAACCCAAGTATTACCAAACCACAGAATTACCAACCCCAGTATTACCAACCCAAGTTTACCAACCCAAGTTTCCCAACCCAAAAATTACCAACCCCGGGATTACCAACCCAAGTTTTACCAACCAAGATTACAACCCAAGAATTACCAACCCCAAGTATTACAAAAACCCAATGCAAATTACAACCCCAAAAATCCCAACCAAGATTACCAACCCCAAAGATACAACCCCAAAAGTATTCCCAACCCCAAAAACCAACCCAAGTATTTACCAACCACAAGAATTACCAACCCCAAGTATTAAAAACCCCAAGATTACCAACCCAAAATTCCCAAACCCCAAGTATTACCAACCCCCAAGATAACCCAAACCCACAAGAATTCCCAAACCCCAAGTATTACCAACCCAAGAATTACCAACCCAAGTTTACCAACCCCCAAGTATTAACCAAACCCCAAGTATTACCAACCCAAGAAATTGCCAACTGAAAGTATCCAACCCCAATATTACCAACCCCCAAAGAATTCCCAAAACCCCAAGAATTACCAACCCCTAAGAAAGAAATACCAACTGCAAGTATTCCCAAACCCCGAAAATTACTCCCGAAAGGGTTTACTAACAGCAAGTATTACCAACCCAAGATTCCCAACCCCAAGAATTACCAACCACAAGTATTCCAACCCCAAGAATTACCTAACCCAAGAATTCCCAAATAAGCCGCGAAAAATTTTACCAACCGCAAGGTATTAACCCCTACCCCCAAGTATTACCAACCCAAGAATTACCAAACGAAGAATTACCAACCCAAGAATTACCAATCCAAGTATTACCAACCCAAGCATTACCAACTGCAAGATTACCAACCCCAAGCGAATACGTAACCCCAAGAATTCCCAACCCCCAAGTTTACCCCCCCCAAAAGAATTAACCAAAACACCAAAGTTCAACCCTGTTCCCAACCCCCAAATTCCCAAACCCCCAAGAATTACCAACCAAGAATTACCAACCCCAAGTATTACCAACCCAAAACCAAGTATTACCAACCCCAAGATTACCAACCCAAAATTACCAACCCCAAGAATGACCCCAAGAATTACCAACCCAAGATTTACCAACCAAGAATTACCAACCCAAGAAATTACAACTCAAGTATTACCAACCCAAGAATTACCAACCAAAGTATTACAACCCACAAGAATTACCAACCCCAAGAATTACCAACCAAGTATTACCAACCCAAGAATTACCAACCCAAGAATTACCAACCAAGTATTACCAACCAAAATTACCACCCCCAAGTATTACCAACCCAAGTATTACCAACCCCAAGTATTACCAACCCCAAGAATTACCAATCCCAAGTATTACCAACCACAAGAATTACCAACCCCAAGTATTACCAACCTCAAGTATTACCAACCCTAAGCATTACCAACCCCAAAAATTACCAACCCCAAGTATTACCAACCCCAAGAATAACCAACTGCAAGTATTACCAACCCCAAGAATTACTAACCACAAGAATTACCAACAGCAAGAATTACCAACCCCAAGTATTACCAATCCCAAGTATTACCAACCCCAAGTATTACCAACCTTAAGAATTACCAACTGCAAGTATTACCAACCCCAAGTATTACCAACCCCAAGAATTACCAACCACAAGAATTACCAACCCCAAGTATTACGAACCCCAAGAAATACCAACTGCAAGTATTACCAACCCGAAGAATTA